AACAGACGAACTACGATCATAATTACAAACAATCAGTAAGCGACAGGTGTTAGGAAACGCTGTTTTGTACTCCTTTATTGACGAGTCGGCTGCGGTGCGCCCAACTGAATGCGCTGCTTCTCTGCCGCTCACTGCACAGAACAGACGCCGAGAGAGGCGACACTTCTCCGGGAAAGTCAGACCTCGCGTTCGCGGGACAGCACTGGCGAAATCTTCCAACTGAACCATAGCTAAGGTTTATCCAAAAAAGTCACTAGGTTTGTCAGTATGAATATTCTATGGGGAAAAGCTGCTAAAAGGGTCTGAAAGTTGCTAAATCTAGTGCTAAAGTCGAGCTTGTGTGTGGAATTGTGGGAGCTGATGGCAGGGGGCGGTGGATATTTGTGGCTGTCAATGTGGATATTGTGGATGAGTTCTTCTGTGTCATCACGTTCTATTAGTTCTACAGCTTCAGTTTCTGAACTTTCACGCTTAGTAACACATACAGCTGTTCCCTCACCACAGTGCAACAGTGAAAAGGGACCCCTTTTCCGAACGTTGTTTAAGAGACATACACCGGTATGGCGGTATTTTAAAAATTCATATCATAATAAAAATAAACACCGGTATTCGGTATGAACCGGTATACCGCCCAGCACTATTAGAGTTGTATTTATTTAGATGTTTATTAGCGAAATAATGGTTATATAGTAAATGTTAATACAATTTAGGGTGTTTTAAACAAGTGAATCTTGTTAAAAGCCACATGCAGTGGCCGTGTTGGAGCATTTCCTGAGCATCAACCCGGTGAGTGAACAGCAATATAAAAGCGGCTTCGCGAGACTAATGATGAGCAAATATACAACAGAGAGAGAATTAAATTAAGCGCTTTTATTTCCAACATCCGCTCATTCATGGCTGCATATTATTTAATTCAGGCAAAGTTATGTCTTTATTGGGAGAGGACTTGACGGATTATCTATGTGACTCTGTGAGTTGGTCTCTATTTCTTAGAGCCAAGCTGCATAAACTACATATCAGGCATTTATATAATGCATCTAATTTGTGCATAAATGGCTGTTATGTTAAATAAAGTTGACTAACTATAGCAACTATATCAAGTACCTGCACGCAGTTGTCGTTGTCTCGTCTCCCCCTCAGACGCGCTGCAATGGCGATCCTGCGCGCAATTCTCAAAACGCCCACAAGATGGCGGCGTTTATCAGTGAATCCGATATTACAAAACCGATATCCGATTATGGTAAAATGCTTAAATATCGGAAAATCGATATATCGGTCAATCTCTATTGACAATGCATTCAAAATGACAGCAGATCCAAGGAAACCTGCTAAATTTGTTATACAGTATATAGTACAGATAGCATATAAATGTGCACTTCAACCCAAACAACACTAAAATAGAAGAATACATCAGCAGTGGAAATACTGGAACTTTAGTTAGGAATGAAGAGGAGAAATGCAAAACACTCATGAGTTCAACAACACACTCAGTCATACATCAAACCTAACACATTGAGGTGGAGGTCAAGGAAATTCCTGACATAGGCTCAACAACAGCATAAACAGAGACATAAAGAAGCTGCTACAAGAGGGATGATGGTATTACGGCTAATCAGTAAACAGAATGACAAGCATCTGGGTCAGATCTCTGAGACCTGGGCTTGAGGGCGCACCTTGAGTCATCATACAGTTTTACAAGTCAGAGTCAAATCTCAAGTAATAATGGAAATAACCATAACTTTTAAACCAGGTCCTAATCAAAGTCAAATGTAGATGATCTGCATTAGGTTAAAACACATGTAATCTTTCTCTAGTCTAATAAAGCACCATCACCACTTAAAGAAATTTCTATTCACTACTAACATTTAAAATCACAACTAACATTTTATGAAGATTACTGGTGATTTAAAGCATATTATCATCCAGTGTCACTGAAAATAGGTTTTCAATTTAACATAAATCAGTATTAACATAGTCGAATAATAAGTTAATATTGCTTGCTGACCTGCAACAGCGCAACACCCAGGTGGTCACCCTATATAGTGAGAATATGGAGTTCACACTTGAGGAAAAAAAACATACATTTCATTCAAAGGCCAAAACTAGGGATGCAACGATACCATTTTTTTCAGATCCAATCCGATCCAGAAAATTCTGGGTATCGGCCAATTCCAATCCGATCCGATCCAAGCAGAGTTTTTTTGTGTTTTTTAATCAATGTAGAATCTCTATGCTTCATATGATATATGACAAAAATACTATTATAAACTAGGTTAGTGAATAATTTAGCAGCAAAAGTTATTCTAGAAAAATCATGAGTGCACAATTTTATAAAATCTAAACATTTAGTGAAATAACTATTTAGTGGGGAAGAAATAAAAGTCAATAAGTGTAATACTATATCTGGTAAAATGTTACACATTGCTCTTTGTATTGTTGTAAAATACATTAATGAAAACAAGTAAATGTATTTATATATAAATATAAACTATACAATTGAAAGACATTTCTTTTAAATGTATAGCGCAGTAATGAAGACAGCAACATATGTAGATAGAAGTCCTATCTATCATATGTTGCTGCCTCCATTACTGTGCTATACATTCGATTATTAATAGCCTTTCTTGTTATGTCCTATCATAGGACAGAACAAGAAATGCTATAAATGATCTTTCACTGTGCAAAAGAACACGGCACGCAGTTTGAATGCTGAATGGAGGATGACAGACAGCTGCAGCGGAGAGAAGAGTTTACGTGAACTTGAATTTAATGACTTAAATATTCATCTTTACCTCACATTAAACTATGGAACGGCTTCAGAACACTTGAACTTTGACTTTATGGTGCTTTATAATGTTTTTGTGCTTTCGTGGGGCTTAACAATAACACAGAATAGTATACGCACAATATCAGATTTGGATCGGTCTCGTCTGACCGATAACCGATCCAACAGAAAATGCCAGTATCGGAGCCGATACCGATACTGAGTATCGGATCAATGCATCCCTAGCCAAAACTGAGAAAAATATGCAATCTGGTGCAGATACTCCAATTTCTATGGCCAAAAAGTAAGATGAAATTCTAAAGCATTGAGATTTTTATACTATATCAAACTACTTAAATTTCCTTGATTTTTCTTGATACACACATGCTTATATGACTACTTTGTAGGGGTGGGAGAAAAAAAATAGATTCACCTAACTATCGCGATTCTTTTTAAAACATTTAAAAATCGATTGGTTTACCTCAGAATCGATTTATATTTCATTATTTTACTTTTCCTAAGAGGTGGTGGGGAGAAGTTAGCGCTTTTTAATTCCAACAGAGGGCGAAATGTATAGGTGTGTTCGACTTGAAGCAGCACCAAGCAGACCAATCTGCATATGACATCAAAGTACCGCGAGGGCGATTCGAAAGCATGCAGAGCCATCTGCTCTCTGTAGCTCTCGCGGTGCTTTGATGTCATACAGCAATCCTTCTGTGTGCGCAGTGCCGCTGCATTAGATGATGTCATATACGTTTCAAGCCGACGCGAGAAAGCAAAACCATGACGAAGGCAGAGGATCAGACCTCTTCCAGAATTCTTTCTGCACCTTCCCGTTTTGAATCCCAAGTGTGGAAACACTTTGGATTTTACACACTGCCGGGAAAACATGACTAAACATGACTAAAACGGTATGCAAAGTAACATAGCACTTTATTTTACTCATTTTGTTGAACATTTGGCTATTATATTCATGTGGTTCAGGGTTTTGGTACTTGAAAGTTTCATGGTTCAAGGTACTTTAAATATACACTGTGTATGTGTATGCTCCTGAAATAAAAGTTCAGAAAGATGTGATGCATTGTTTTTGTTAATATGACTAATTTACAGTCTCTTTTAAGGGTATAATCAAGTATTTTCCATTGTCTAGTCTTTAATAAGCAAACAAAACAAAAAAATCACAATAAATTGTAATATCGAATCGCAATAGTTATATAATCGCAATACTCAATTATAGCAATACATATTGAATCGGCACACAAGTATCGGGATAGTATTGAATCGGCAGATTAGCGTATCGTCCCAGCTCTACTACTTTGCATAAAATGATGTATGGATAAAGAAGTAGCCCAAGTTGCTCTAGTCCAGTAAACGTTCATCATGAAATTTTAATAACAATACAAATTTAGTTCTTCTGTTTATTTAATAAAAGTGAATATTACTTGCTAAAATAGTATGAACCATCAAGTGGGGTCAGAAGTCATGTAGTAGATTGTTTATAACAGGTTTATCAGCAAAGTTTTTATTAAGTTGATAATTTAGAGGCTTTACAAATTCATGTATCATATACGACACACTGGTTTTATAGAGTTAAGATGCATGCACTGGCAGGAAAAAAGGCCAGCCTGAGTGCACCGTTTCTCATTTCACATGCAAAGACAGTGTTTATATAAAATATCAAAGGCATAACAGTAAAAACAGCATCAGGTTTTGGCACAAATACATTTTATGTGGGTGCTTGACTCATGAGTTCTGAGTAAAGAACTTTGAAAGAATTCCTAATCTCATCAGTTCAAGTCAAGGTGATTAAAATTACAAAGTTGAAAGTAAAGAATTATCATATGTGTCAAGTTAAAAGTGCCAAGCTCATCTCTAGTCCCCACCAGAGATGTCTAGTTTCAATGTACTTTTCTCCCAGGATTATGTAATAAGAAAATAGCCTCAAACAGCAGTGAACAATGGAGAGCATTCTCTCTGTTATACTGGAGTATCAACGTGACTCAGTAGGCAAGTTTCTGTCAGAGCAGAGACTGAAAACAAATGCCTAGGATTCAACCTTGAGCTTTAATAAAGGTCACATTTTAAATTGTTTAAGTGTTCTTCTTGAGTCACACAATGCAACCAAGCAAGAGTGTATCACAACAAGTACAAATGGCAAGAACTGACCAAACAGAATGGTTTATGAAAACCATAGTCAACCAAACACACGTACACTTGAATGTATTAGTCAACTCACCGGCAAATCAACACTGACATCTGTGCCATCTAACAAAGACACTCGGCAGGTGATGATGGACTTGGCATCTCCAGCAGCAGGGATGTGTGTTGTGGCTCGCTGGGCTTCTCGGAGTCGAGTTTTCTCAGCATGTTTGCGGATGGACCGCCGGCCCAGAGTACGGCGAAGGAAGCTCAGCATGTTCAGGAAGATTCGTTTGTCCAGTCTGGAATAAAGAAACAATCTCAGTTACAAATTACAACTCGCTATGGTTCTTACTTATAACCAGTGTTGGGGGTAATATATTACAAGTAATCAGATTACTTTTTTCAAGTAACTAGTAAAGTAACGCATTACTTTTTAATTTACAAGAGAATATCTTAGTTATTAGTTATATCTAGAGTTACTTTTTCAAATAAGTAACGCAAGTTACTTTTTTTTTCCAATTTATTGATTGACAGCTCTCCTGTCCCCATGTTGAGAGAAATCAGAAGACGTTACTGTAGTTCTAAAATAAATATGAATATGCATTAATTCATCTCACACACACACACACACACAAAAAAAACAGATTCAGTATTCATCCAAATGAATAAAAATAATGCAACTCAGAATATGACGCAAAACTGCAATAATTAAATGTTAAACAACACAAATATCCTTTATGTATTTAATCCCATTCTATTTGCTTCTGACCTTCGATGATCCAGTTCAGCCGTACTAATAAGCAGAAATTACTCTAGACAAACATTTGTGTGTCTTTTTTCTATTGCTGAAGTGTGTTGAAATGTCTTCTTCTGCATTCTGCTGTACGGACGTACATTTACTTTCCCTTCAGCCCGAGGCTTATTCATTTCACTTTTGGTGTGAAAGGTCTTTTATATTGTTCTAAAATAGAACTTTTTTATTTTAAAAACAAACAAGCAAGCCCTGTCCAGATTTAAAAAGTAATGCAAAAGTAACGTAACGCATTACTTTCCATAAAAAGTAACTAAGTACCATAATTAGTTACTTTTTTATGGAGTAACGCAAGTTGTAATGCATTACTTTTCAAAGTAACTTTCCCCAACAGCGCTTATAACCACAGTTTAACTGTGGAATCTATAATAAGACCAGTATTGAATAGATGGCACCTTATTCCTTTAAGAAAATGTAACTCAAATTTTGTGCAGCATGTATAGTAACTATTATTTAACTGAAGCATCTGTAATAAGACCACAGTTAGGGAAAATACAAAGGTTACGTCAAGGCAACAATAATTTCTATAAAACAAACTGTGGCATTTATGAAAAATAACGTGGTAAGATATTTAGTCTCTAGATACAACTGCAGTTAACTAAAATTGCTACCTTCATTCTCACTAACTATAATTTCATTGTGGTAAATATTTATAATAGACAGTGGTCCGTTTAAAATATCGGTTGACAAAACGTCAAACGTTTAACGCTGCTGTCAGGCGTGCACTGCTTGAGGTTTAGAGCAAAAGCTCTAGCGAGAGTAGCGAGAGTGGCTCACGATCATCACGCGCTGACTGACTGAACTCCACTGACACCTGTTTGCTCAAGAAGAAAAGATGCGCATAATTCACATTTAACGGCGGAACGACCTAAAAATGTTGAATTTATTTAATAACACAAATAGCTAGAAGTTACAATACGGCTGTAATATGGTTCCGATATCTATCGCGCCCACCTCCGGCCGGGAAGACCGCGCGCTAGCGGCGCGAATCCACTTGTTGCTCCTCAGACCACAGACAAAAGCGATACGTACTGCAGACTGCTTGATATTCCGCCAATGAAACAGTCCTCTAGCCTCGGCCGTTATCAACAAACAACTTTGTGTTTTGAAATATCCATCTTCTACGCCGCAGTGTGGCCCATCCACCTTATGTTTTTGGAGGTAAGTGTAACTGATATTGTCCCGGTCCGAAAGATTGTGGGATGGCCGTTTTCCCTCAGGAAATGACGTCACGTAAATCCCTTAAAGTGGATTTACATTTAAAGGGTCGGTGCGGAGTGAAAATTGCCTCAATACTTTTTAGTTTAGTTTCAACATTACAACGTTCTTAAACTTACATGTATTATCGGTTACACTTTATTTCGATAGTCCACTTTAGACATTCTATTAACTATAAGTAACTTTGTAACTACATGTCAACTACATGTCAACTAATTCTCATTAATTTGCAACTACATGTCTACTAACTCTCAGAGTAGACTGTTAGGGTAGGTTTAGGGTTACTAGAATGTAAACAAAGAAAGTGTTAGAAGAACTTAAGCAGACAGTCTACTAATACTCTACTAACTGCTAGTTGACATGTAGTTGCAAATGTACTTACTGTTAATAGAATGTCTAAAGTGGACTATCGAAATAAAGTGCTACCGTATTATCTTTTAAGAAACTACAATCAGCTATTGTGTGGCATGTTAGAAATTTGTAAATCAGTTACTGAATAAAACTTTAGATCAAAGCAATACACTAAAGAATCTAGTTTGACTTCCCAATCCAGTTTCATGCGCAAAAAATAACATTTAGGAACTTTGTGTACTAGAACTGCATATCCCCCATATCTTCCAACTTGGTACTGTAGTGGTACCACAGTACAGTAATAAGATGGTACTGAATGATTACTGATGATATATATGTAGTTAGTCAGGAAGTGACGTGAGAAATTAATCACCATTCACCATTATTTGTCATATATAATTTATTCTATATGCTGAATTATTATAGCACTTTTAAAGCTAACACATTACATGCAGGTTTGCAAGAGTTGCAAGAATGATTTGTAATTGTTTTGGAAGTATTGGTTAGACTGAAAATAATATTTCATAAAATGGATTGAAAATGTATCTGAAGCTTTTATTCAAACTAAAAACTTTTTTTTTTGTAAAGAAAACATGTATTTTATCATTTAAATAAGTCCAAAAATATTTAAATGTGGAATATAAAAATATTATAGTTGCTAAAAATATAAAGGCTAAGGTAAATCTGAACCACTGGCTCATCTGGGCCAGCAAAAGATCCTAATTTTCTAGCTAGAAGCCAGTTGCTTTCAGGTGCTCTGTATTTTTTTCCCCCCAACAGCACCACCCACTGGTTTACTCAGTGCGTCAAACTCAGACTGTGCAACTATCCTGCCAAAGCCTTCAAAGGAGGAAATCAAATGTACAATGTAATTATATATATACTGTATATATAATTACATTGTACATTTGATTTCCTCCCATATATATAATATCACATGCAAAAATGACCCAGATCACACACACCTTACTTTTATTTTAAAGATTTTCTTTTTAATATACAACATTGTATGTACACTTTACAATATTTTCATAAAAATGGACAAGTGGCACAACTTGACCTTCCTGTTATTTGCAGCAAATAAAACGTTAACTCCAGTCTACGGTTGTACTCTTTGTTGAAAAAGTGCTGTCCCACAAGGCAGGAGGTGTGTAGTTTCTCCCAAATTCCATGCCATATTCCTGTTTTAAATGTTTTTTGGTAAAATCTGTAACCTGTTCAGCATAGAATGGAATTATTTGGTCCTAAAACCAAGGTTCTCCAGCAATTATGACCACAAAGAAACATCATATGATTGACTGTAAATGTAGTACCTTACAAAAAGTACAGGCATGGATTCAACTCTGAATTCAACTAGAGATGGCCTGTGAAACTGGGCAATGGGTCAAAAATTTAATTTGAGAGATTAACAATGTTAATTTGATGGCTTCTAAACAAAGACTGTTCATAAAACTAGGGCTCAATCACATTCAAACCAACAGTACTATAAAACACACTTACACATACAGACATCAGAAACATACAGTAATAACACAACAACACACACACTGGACACACTTGCTAATGTTAGCGGGATATTCTGTGTGTGCAGTCTGCTACAAGAAATAAACAGGTCAAAAATAAACAAACTCCAATTTGATTCCCCAACGTGGTACTGCATTTGACACATTGTGGTGTGTAACATTCAGATTTAACAACAACACAAAAAACAGTTATTATTTGCAACACTGATGTGGCTGTTATATTACCTACAGGGAATACTAAACCCTTCAATTGAATATCTGATTTTAAATGGCAAGGTGTTTATTCTTTCAGGGAATGTTTGCCTTTGGACAGATCAAATTTCTAAATGATAGTTCTCTTATAATAAAACAGCAGAGGAGTGTATAAAAAAAAAGAATCAATCTAATTTTAAAGGAATCTTCTGTATGTTGATTTCTGTGGGTTGGTGGCCCGGAATTTATTATTCTACAGTCTCACAGGTTCTTTTATTTCACAACTAATTCTGTAAGGTTGAGGAACTACTAACTGGGAGGAATATTTTCAGTAATTAAAGTTACATTTCAGTCTTTTCCTGACATTCCAACATTCCAATTTCTTGAAATATTATTGTATTTTCTGTCATTTTATCTTGGAGGCTTTCACTGTATGGAAATGAGCAGCACGAACATTTTTCAAAACATCTCCTTTTGCACTCCACTGACGAAAGAACATCATATGGGTTTGGAAAGACACAAGGATGAGTAAATAATCACAACATTTTCATTTTAGTATTCCTTTAACTTCCGAACCGATATTTTGCATCAAAGCTGTAATGCAAAGTGCTTTAAAGTCCTTGTTGACAGCTTTTTAGTTTGACAGAAAAATAAATAAAAATGATTTTCATCCTGTGGCAAAAAGCAAGAACAAAGCAAACGGAAAGAGGGAAAAAAAGATCACTGTTGTAACAAAAACTGTTTTTTTTTTTCATGTAGTTACTTATGTTGAATGAGCAGGGCTCAAAATTTAAACTAAAACAATAAATATTTCTAATAAAAATACAAATGTTCATCTGCAGCACAGGCCTGGATGTGAATGGTTTTGTGGGTGCTGTTTGTTTCCAAATAATAGGTGACCACATATAAAAACACTCATTCACTCACGGGCCTGCCCTTACACACATATGGCACCAGCAATCTCCACTATATTCATTATTAACATATATATATTTGTTAAAACCCTGAACACTCAAAGTTCCAACAAGTACCTAATTCACCTTAGATTTCTTTGTCACTTCTCTCTCTCTCTCCTCATTGAAGCCTGGCATGTAGTCTCTTTGCCAGCATAAAGTGCAGCAGTGCTTGGTTTATGTCCTGTGTTCCTGGCTCGAGATACTTCTCCATCACTGAGTCACGGAGCTGTAACATCATCATGTGGAGAAAATCCTGTCAGTGAATTTCAGCATAATTTTCGGGAAAAGCTGGCATTGCATTAGTTGGATTCGTACAGCGTGGACTTGAGCGGTTTCACCAGGCCCTCCTCGTAAACCTTCATTATGGCCTCACACACAAACTTGAACTGGCTCTGAAAAAACAGAACAGAGGGGAAGTCATGGTGAATGCAAGACGTGTCCGTCTATCACACAAGAGCAGCCAAGTGTGATGGCAGTATGTGAAACTGGGATGAGAGCATAATTCATGGACTGTGTGGCTGAGTGAGTTAGAGAAGGATAGAGAGAGACGAGAGAATGCATATAGAACCACTGTGGAACAAAGCAAAAGCAGAAAATAAGATGCGGACAGGAAGAAATAAAAGTCAAGAAAATATAGCTCAGGTCAATCCTTCAAAATTATTCACCAAGTAAGGCCAGAATAGCAGATCATTTTAAAAAGTGATCAAATTTAGGTACACTACCATTCAAAGTTTGGGGTTGGCAAGATTTTTAAATGTTTTTGAAAGAAGTCTCTTATGCTCATCAAGGCTGCATTTATTTGATCAAAAAATAAAAGCAGGGGGAAAAAAACAATAATACTGTTATACATTATTACAATTCAAAATAACTGTTTCTCTTTGAATATATTTTCAAATGTAATTTATTCATGTTATGGTAAAGCTGAATTTTCAGCAGCCGTTCCTCCAGTCTTCAATGTCACATGATTCTTCAGAAATCATTCTAATATGCTGATTTGGTGCTCAAAAAACTTTTTACACTTATTATCAATGTTAAAAACAATTGTGCTGCTTAATATTCTTGTGCAAACTGTGATTTAAAAAGTTGAAAATAACAGCATTTATTTTAATCAGATTTTTAAAAATAATATAAATGTCTTTACTGTCACATCTGGTCACTTAAAGGGGTCCTATTATGCTCTTTTACAAAGTCTTGATTTTGTTTTGGGGTGTACTAGAACAGTCTAGTACAGTCTCATACTAGGTTGTTCGAAAAACACATTATTTTTCACATTTTACATTATTACAGTACCTCTCAACCCAGTCTGGCATGAACGGCTCGAATAGTTCCTGTATCAAATGAAGGCCTGCCTTCTGAAATACGAAATGTGCAGTGATTGGTTAGCTGGGCCAGTGTGTGTTGTGATTGGCAGCACTCGGCGCCTGGTTGAGAAATGTCCCGCCCCTTACCATATCCGCCTGCGAGCTTCAGTGTAAATATTGCGTCAATATCAAATCAATTTGAGTGCGATTTAAACCCGGATGATTGTAACCACTCTAAGTTCATCTGCCTTGGGAAAGCTATTGTGTCTCCGACATAGTGATAACACTCGCTGCCTTCTCTAGTGCAGCTCAACCAGGTCTCATCTCATTCATCGAAATTTGTAGTCCAAATGAGTCGTTCGTTGTAGTTTTTGAAAAGTGATTTCTGTTAAATAAAATATCTCCTTTTGAAGTGGACTTTGGGCTTTGTAACTTTGCAGATCTTTTTTATGCTCAAACAGCAACATTACAGACTAACTAAAGTTTAAAAAGTGAAAAAGCATAAAAGGACCCCTTTAAATGCATCCCTGCTGAATAAAAATACTAATTTCTTTCAAAAACTATTTATTGACCCCAAACATGTGAATGGTAGTGGATGACCAATAGAAAAAGTGATGCCTTAGTAACATCAGTAATTAAAAAGAGCAGAGTGGGTGCACAAGTGTTTTC